CCCTTTTTTTTTTTTTTTTTGGTATTTAGGCACGAACTCGGATCCTTGCGCTTGAGAGGCAGGCGCCGGAACCACGGAGCTATATCCCCGGCTGCCGTCACTTTTTAAAAATGCTTCTCTGCGCGACTCCCAAGACTTTTTTAAAAAAATACGGTAGGGGAACGAACTCAGGACCTGGTACTTGCCAGGCAGGCGCTGCACCACGGAGCTACATCCCCGGCCTCCAAAATCTTTATCCAACATGAGTCTAATCCTCTCTCTCACTTCCCTCTGTCCGTCTCCCAACTCCCGACCACGCCAGGGGCCCGATGTCACTCTCTCAGGTCCTCCCTGCATCGCCATCACTTTCCCCTCTCGCCCCGGAGGCTCCGCAGGTGAGACAGGTAGAAAGGCCCGCAAAGAGGAAGGTCGCATTCGCTCAGGACTCGCAGGGGCTCACCCTGGTGACACGGACCGCCATGGCTTCCTCTTCACCGGGCAGCAGCAGAATACCGGAGCCCCAGGAGAGCCTCCTCGCGCACCCCACCAGAAATCAACAGCCGTTCCTCCGCACCACGCCGGGAGGAGTTAGCCCAGCTCAGGTTTAAACCCCGCGCTGCTCCCTGCTGATTGGCTCGTTCGTGGCATTCGTTCCCTTCTCATTGGTGTCTGCCAGTTCCTGCAGAATGCGTTTCCAGGGCAACCATGGAGGACGTTCTGCAGGGGTGGAGCCACAGCGAGACAGCGACCGCTCGTGTCGCCCTTTTCTCGCGAGGTGTAACTCCGCGCCTGCGCTCTCGGGCAGTTGTGGTGGCCGGGGGGTGGGGTGGGGGTGTGGAGAGGGTGCTGCGTGCGCCCCCATCTGGGAGGAGGTTGGGTTCGTAGTCGAGGTTCTCCCTTCAAGGCCCTTTGGGAGAGGGGCGGCTGCAGTCTTAGAAGGACGCAGAGCAGTTTTAGTTCTAGTTCAAATTATTTTACACATTTTGCTCTTCACCAGTAGCAATATTTTAGAGATTATAAGTCCACTTTTTTCATTTGATCGTCCCTGCAGCTCTCCAGGGTGGACATTTGAGCTTTGTGGGATGAAGCATTTGCACAATAAAATGGTTACTCTAGGAAAGCTGATTAAGATATCTATCAAATATTATAGTTACTCTTTGTGTAGCTCGCTTGCGTGGTACTGGGGATTGAGCCTAGGGCCCTTCTGCTGAACTACATCCCCAGCCTTTTCATTTTGAGACAGGACCTATGTGGTTCAGGCTGGCCTTGAACTTGTGGTGAACCTCCTGCCTCAACTTTTCAGGCACTGGGATTACAGGCATGGCCACAACACTGGGTTCTCAGCCTTTTCTTAATCATTTATTTATTTTACAAATTTTGAGACAGGATCTAAATTGCTGGATTGCCCAGGATGGGCTTGAAATTGTGAACCTCCTGCCTAAAACCTGCCTGCCACAACTGGCTTCATTTTATTTTTTCTTCCACGTGAATTTATTCTTAGTAATACAAATTTTTTTTTTTTTGTACTGGGGATGAACTCGGAACCTTGTGCTTGCAAGGCAGGCACGGTGCCCCTGAGCTAAATCCTCGGCCCCTTTAGCACTGGCTTTTATAAAATTATGTGTTGTATGATATATTTTATGAACTACTTACTACATACCAGGACTTTAATTTCACATTTATGATATAAATGAACCTAAAATACAGGGTTTACCATACATTGCCATAGCCTTTCAATTACCATTGTGAGACACCAGATGGGTACCTTTGTTTTACTTTTTTTTTTTTTTTTTTTTTTTTTTTTTTGACAGGGTCTCATTGTACAGTTCAGTTCAGGCTGGACTTGAACTCAGTATGAATCCCAGACTGGCCTTGAACTCACAGTGATCCACCGGCTTCAACCTCCTGAGTGCTGGTATTACAAGTATATACTACCATGCCCTGCAAAGTTCACTCTTGAATGAGTTTTGACCGTATCTACCATTATATATCTATAATTACTATATCATGCACAATATTCAGTGTTCTAAAATTCTTGGCAACCACTGGTTCTTTTTTTTTTTTTAATCCACAGATTCATTTAGTTCTTCATTGGTTTGTCTTTCTCAGAACGTTGTACAGTGATGTAAAAAAATTTTTTTTTAATCCTGTGCATGTAGCTCAGTGGTAGAGGCCTTAGTGTTAGGAGGTGAGTTTAAGTGGGAGGAGTGTATCAGTGTGGGCCTGACTCAGAAGGTGTGTCTCTCTCCCTAGTTCCACCCTTGATGCTACACTTCAGGGAGCCATAAGGTAAGCAGCTAGCTGTTCTGTGCTAGTCCCTTCTTCCATGCTTCTTCTGTGAGCCAGCAGACTGTGCAAGGACAAAGACTACTGAAACAGGAGCCAGAATACATCTCTCCTCCTTGAAGTTGCATGTGTTGAGTATTTTGTCCTAGGGATGAGCACAGTAACTGCTAAGACATCAGGATAGCAAAACATTAGCAACAATGACAATAAAAAACACAGCAATACCAAAAAAAAAAAAAAAAAGAAGAAAAATGGGGTTTGTTGTTCCTCTATTAATCCTCAGAAAAACACAGCAATAACAAAAGACCCTTGTAAATCGATGCTACCACCCTACATTTTATGGTATAAATGAAAAGAACTGTTGATCAGTCAATAGTATCATCTTTGGTCCCTAATGGGTTCCAGTGCTGAACAACAGAATCTCTCCATGCTGTTTACTGGCCAAAGAAGGCAGTCCTTAGTACCAACTACTTGTAGGAACTGGATTTAGATTAGTGCTACAAGATAAATCAAGAAATACCAAGGCAAAATCCAAGAACAAGCCAATCTAAGTCACAGTACTGAAAAACTGATCTGTGCCATCTTTTTGCTTGATTTGGCCATGTTCAAATAGGGCGCCCTACAAGCTTGTGGATGCCAACCGCTGCTGTTGTTAGGTTACTGTTAATAGGTTTAAAATGCCACCAGTTGTGCAGCTGGTGGCATGAATCATGCATTACATGATACTCAGGAAAAAGGAGGTCAGGACTGTGTGTGGTAGTGCAAACTTGTAATCCAGCACTCTGGGAGGGTGAGGCAGGAGAACTGCAAGCTCTAACCCAGCCTGGGTAATTTAATGACTTAGTAAAATTGTGTCTCAAGGTTAAAAAAAAAATTAAAAAGGGGATGTAACTCAGCACAAGGCCCTGAGTTCAATCCCTGTACCAAAACCAAAAAAACCAAACCAAACCAAATAATAGAAAACAAAAGAATTGACTTTACAGGGCCGGGGATGTAGTTCAGTGGCACAGTGCCTGCCTGGCAAGCCTGAGGTCCTAAATTCCATCCTAGGTACAAAAAAAAAAAAAAAAAAAAAAAAAAAAAAAAAAAAAAAAGAATTGACTTTACTCTGGTAAACGAAATGGAATCTGAAAGAAACTCAACCAGGTGAAGATCTGAATACCTGATATCTCAGGCAGGAAGAGGGAGGACAAGGAGAAAGGACTGTAAAGAGACCTTGGACTTTGATCCTAGGCTTTCACTCCACTTCTAAGTGGTTGTCCACTGGGGCACATTTTCTCCTGCTGGGAGCCATTCAGCAGTGTTTGGAGACATTTTTATTTATTTATTTATTTATTTATGGTAGCCTGGATCAGACTCGGGACCTTGCACTTGTGAGGCAGGCGGCGGAACCACTGAGCTAAATCCCTGGTTCGAAGGAGACATTTTGGAATGTGACATCTGGGATGGTGCTGCTGCTTTGTGGTGGAAAAGAGCAGAGCCCGAGAGCTGTAAGCATCCCACCCATGGGGTTTGGCAGCCCCACCATCCAGACGCCCACCCAGTGGCGCCAAACTGGAGACACCCACCCAGCTCTGTGCATAGCCAGAGCTTTTCAGCACACTGGTTTTCAGTACTTACAAGCATAACTGTGTGTCCTTTTCCCTGTGTCTTCCAGGAGCTACTCAGTGTGCCCTCTTCAGACCAGGCTGATGTGCCAACTGCATGCCAGGGACTGCTCTGGGCACTATGGCCTCGGCCCTGAACCAAATGGGTGAGATTCCTAAGGTCCTAAAGCTCATATTCCAGGTGGAAAGGTACTAAACAAGCAAGTAAGGGACTGGGGATTTAGCTCAGTGATTCCACTGCCTGCCTCACAAGTGCAAGGACCTGACTTTGATCCCCGGTACCCAAAACAAACAAACAAACCACCACCACCAACAAAAACACACAAAAAAACAAGCAAGTAAGGAAAGGGAACATCAGATGAAATTATACAGCAGGCAGAGAATGGAAAGAAAGAGAAAAACTACAGCAATTTAATCACTAGAGTAATTTAGGTTTGAGGGTCAGGAATAGTCTTTCCTGGGGAGATGATACAGAGGCTGGGCTTCAATGATGAGAAAGAGAACATTCCAAGTAAAGGAAATACGCTGTAAAAACCCAAAGATAGGAATGAGTTTGTTGAATGCAGAAACACCAGTGTGGCTACAGAATAGACAGGAGTAGCAGAGATGAGATTGAAGCAGTTGGAAAGGGTAAGATGCCAGTCCAGGGTCTGGGTATGTTAGTGGTATAGCTCTTGCCTCTTCTACTATAGGCCCTGGGTTCAATCCCCAGCACCACAAAATAAATAAAAAGCCATTGTATCTTTTTGATTGTTTGTTTGTTTTTGGTACCAGGGACCAAACTCAGGACCTTGTGCTTATGAGGCAAGTGGTGGAACCACTGAGCTAAATCCCTGGCCCTGTATCTTTTTTTTTTTTTAAAATGGTGGCAAAATTTCACATTTTTTAATTAAAGGTAGGAAAAAACAGGCTCTGCAGAGCAAGTTTGGGCCAAGCAAAAATAGGAAAAAGGGAGAAAAATAAAATACAAATTACCCTACAATATAGGATGGGCTACTGTGGAGAGACAAGATAGCTGCCACTGTATTTTACAAACAAAAAGAATACCAGTCTGTGTGAAGCAGGGTAAGGAGTTGGGGCTTATTGCAAAATAATGGGGTGTGGTAAGATCTGTCTTTCACTAAAATGACCTTCGTTGTTATGGAGGGAATTGTGGGGCAAGGGGAGAATAAGAAGATCCATGAAGAAACCACTGTAAGAGTGTAAGAGGTGAGGTGGAGGTCCTGGGTCTTTCATGACTTAAGTGAGAGAATTAAAAATCAAGGGTGACTCCTCATTTTTTTTTTTTGATTCCGGGAATCAAACTCTGGGCCTTGCGCTTGTGAGGCAAGCAGGGGAACCACTGAGCTAAATCCCCGACCCTCTTCATTTTAGTTTGAATACTAGAAACAGAGAAGATCAAGAGATGACCTGCCTTCAGAGGATGACAGTGGGACGGGGGATTAGGTATTCTGCTGCATTTGCAATATCTAGAGAGATGCAGGAGGACAGGTCTGTTAGGCAAAGGTTAGGGTGGGAGATGTGTTCTGCTTCAGCTCTGGGTAGTATGTCTGTGTGCATGCATTTATATATTTCATAGTGTGTGGGAGCCCGCTGGCATTTGACATTGGAAAAGTAACTTCTTCTACCATTGAGGCATTGACACAATCTACGACTCTATTTGGCTTTTCTGACATGAGGGTCTCAGCTATGCAGATGAGATTGACCTGGAGCTCACTGTAATCCAGACTAGTTTTATGGGATTACAGGCGTGCACCACCACGCCCGGCTCAAGGACTTTGTTAAATTTGACCTTTGAGCTCCTCCCTAATATTGCTTGATGCTTCCTGTTGGCCTGCCTTTAA